GGTCCTTATTATTTGAATCTTTAAAATCTGTGCATCGGTTTGATCCCCTAGCCTAGTGGTAAAAGGAGTTGTATCCCATGTCGTGGCCATTTTTTGAATCCCAGCCTTGGAAGCTCAAAAACCATGCTGGCACATGTGGGTGGGCGTCCCAAATACCCATGGGATGGAGAAATGGAGGAGATGGGATCTTGGCATGACTAAACCCCATCGGGAGGTGCTTCCTCTCACTCTTTCTGTCTGTCTCTCCATCTCCTGCTGGTAAGTGCATGCACTCTCTGACAATTAAAAACAAACAAACAAACAAACAAAAAAAACAATGCAAAAAACACCCAGGGGCCAGTAGGTGGCATGGTGGGTAAGGCCACACGGCTGTCTATTGTTGGAGTCCCAGACTCAGTGACTTAAACTCATGCCGGGTGTGTGTGCATGCGTGTGTGGCCAAAATCCTGAGAGGAGAATGCAGGAGGAGAGATTATGGTGTGGCCATCCCCCCGGGGGGTGATTTCTCACTTTCTCTAACTCTCTGGTGACTGCATGTGCTCTATAGCAAAAATTCTCTAAACCTCCCCCCAAAAAACAGAAACTAAAAGCATGCATGTATTAGCTATTCAAAATAATTTGAATTACAAAAGAAAACCCCACATTCATTTTATTTTGGAAACATTTATTAAGTGGTGACTATGTGACGGCTCTGCTAGTCTTTTTTTTTTATTTAAAGAATTATTTAACAAAATGTAATTAATTAATTAATTTTAATTTGACCAGAGAGGGACAGAGTGAGAGAGAGAGAGAGAAAGTGAGAAGGCAAGCTGCCAGGTCCGGGACTCAGACCATGGTTGGCCATGTGGGAATCCAACACCCTTAACCACCACGCCACCTGCCGGCCCGGCCCGGCTCTGCTAGTCTTACTGAATTCAAAATGAGCCGAATGAGCTGGTAAGTGCACTGTTGCCGGATCCAGTCTGCTGAATGCAGGAGCGGCACCAGGATATAGAGAGACAGACACAGAAGCGTGCGAGGAGGGAATCAACTTCAAGGGCTGAGAGCCCGGATGCTTAGTTCTACAGACAATTCATACTAGCTTGAGCAGGGTGTGGGGTGAGTGATCGCTGTAGGTTACATGAGGAGAAGGGGGCTCTTGAGGAAAGATTAACTCTGGGGCGGGCTGGCAGGTGGTATGGTGGTTAAAGGCGCTGGACTCCCAGTTGGTTGACCACGGTTTAAGTCCTAGACCTGGTGTTCACTTTCTCACTTTCCCTCTCTCTCTGTGTCTTTCTCTGATCTAACTGGAAAATAATAATAACAATAAATAAGGTCAAATAGAATAATACTAAATAAAACAGAAAAGAGAAAGAAAGATGAACTCTGGCAGGCCATTACTGTTATCTGGGACTAACATTTCATATGGGGGCCAGCAGGTGGTATGGTGGTTAAAGGTGCTGGATTCCCACATGACCGACTACAGTTCAAGTCTTGGATCTGGCCACTTGCTTCCTTGCTTGTTCTGTCTCTCTCTCTCTGGTCAAATTAAAAAATAATAACAACAGATGGAATGAAATAAATTATTAAAAAAAAAAAAAAACCCACACATTTCATACGGTCCTGGCGGGGACACTGCATAGGTTCTCTCCTGTTGGGCCTGTCTTGAGGGGAATGATCCACATAGTTTTCCATGCTGATCTCTGTCCAGCGTTCTGGACTTCAGGCGCCCAAGACTGTCCCAGTTGTTGCTGTGGTGTTTCCACGTCAATGAAATTTTCTCTTGGTTACATCTTTATTCTATCATCTGGTTCCCAGCAACCACTTACAATTACACTTGGGGTTGGGGACCAAGTGGAGGTGGTCCAGATGAACGGGCAAGAAACTTCTGGGAGGAAAGCATCAGAGACAAAAGCCCCGGACATGGAACTTGTGGGGAGGCCGGGACGGCAGGGCTGGGATGGAGACTAGAGGGGAGGAGCACAGCGGCCAAACCAAGTCCGAGTGAGGGCACGTTCTGGGGAAGGCCGCGTGGGCTTGGGAGGACCTCGGCTTTCATCCTGAGGACAACTGCAGCCTGGCGGCGTGAAGCCAGGGAGAGCCTGGTCGGGGCAGAACAACCATGGCAGGAAAGGGGACGTCCTCCGCGAAGGTGCTCTCAGCCCCACAGACGTCTTTCCAGCCAAAGCTGTGGCCTTTGGGCCAGGCCCATAACTGGTCACTATCTGGTCCAGCCCAGGACCTGTGGGTCTTGCTCAGAGATGGCCCAGCCTGTGCAAACACGTGCAGGGCAGGGGCCTGGCTGCCTCCCATCCCTGAGGCCTCAGACCAGGAACACCCTGCAGGCATTTGTCTTTATGATTTCATGATTAGACAATGTGGAATTACGTAACAGGCATGTGCTCTAAGTGATATGGTTTGTGCATGTATACATGAGAACTAAAGAGATTTTTAGATTCCCACTTAAACAAAAAAATCTCCCCGACGGTAGCAGGAGAAAACACACACACAACAGCAACAACAGGACAAAGCGCACTCAATATTGAGACAGTCAAGATCAAGTCATGCCAGCAAACCTGCGGTGCCACTTTTTTCTGTCAATATATAGACTTATTCATGATCATCCTTTTTTTCAGAAAAAAAGAATTTTAAAAAAAGATGGAGTTGGAACCAGCAGTTGGTGTAATGGCTATGTTGCTGGACTCCCATGTAGGCGACCACGGTTCGAATTCCAGACCTGGTGGCTTAAGCTCACATCAGACACATGTGCGTGCATGCCCAAGATCCCAAGAGGAGAATGGAGAAGGGATTGCAGCGTGACCATCTCCCCTGGGGGGGTGATTTCTCACTTTCTGTCTCTCTCTGTCTTTCTGGCAAGCACATGTGCCCTATAGCAAAAATCCTCTCAAAACAAACAAACAAACAAAAAAGATGGATTTGACATACTCACCATTTAATCATTTCCAGCAAAATATATGTTTGGCTGAAACTATGTCAAAGGGATGTAATACAGGGTTTGTTTGCTGCTTTCGAAGGTTGTTCGGGAGAAAGCAATCTTGCTGTGAAACAGTGTGGAGATGTAAATTTTATAAGGCTGATTTATTAATCTCCATTTCCCCTGTAGTTTGTTATCAGTATAATTCTTTGTGGCTTAATCTAGAGCGATGCACACCAAATTGCCGAGATGTTTAGTAGCTGATAAAGAAATCTTTAAAAAGTTATACAAACGAATGAAATATAAACTGTGAGATAAATATCATTACAGCATGTAATCCGTTTGTCTTCTCTGTTAGTTTGTGGAGTGACTGACATTTTGTGGAACTTTTAAAAGGTTTCATTAAATGCCCCCCCCCCCAGGAATAAAGAAGTTGTAAAGGCTGAGGAAGCGGCGTAGTTGTGCCCGAGTTCTGACCCACAGCACGTGTGAGGTGCACGTGTGTGCTGAGCAGCTCACGGCGTGGTGGTTTGTTACGACAATGGAGACCTGGCTCTGCCTCCCACACTGTGACTGAGGACAGTGACCCCACAGCCATTTAAAACGATTGTCACAACTCTCCCCTAAGGCAGCTCTTCTGCTTCTTGAAGACAGACATCCCACCTCCTCTTTGTCAGCCAGCATAGACGCCAAGTTCTCCTGCTCTCTGAGTCGCTGTCACTTCGCATCATCCAGGGGCCCCAGCAGGGATGGCAGGAGGCAGGGTGAGAGGAACACAGGAGGGAGGAGTGTGGCCAGACCTTTCCTCAGACCCACCTTACCGTGCAGGTGTTAGTGTCATAGGATGGGAGAGTGTTGAGCTGCGTTGTGAAGTCCTTGGTTCTTTGGGTCCAGATCACTAAAATTAGTTACCTGTCCCTAGGTGCAAAATAAAGCCACGACCACAATAAAAGTAGGCAGAAAAGAGAATTTAAGAGGAAAGAAAGATTTTAGAAAAGAAGTATCCCCGAAAGATTCTTTATCTAAATACATATCTTTAAACTGATTTACTGTAGACCAATACGGAGCTCAACCTTTTCCAGAAAAGCTAGTCCTCTGTAATACTTCTAGAGTTTGCCATCACTGGGAAGGCACGATGTCAGACAAGAAATGAACTGGTAAGCCCACCACGGCTGGCACGGTACTTGTGTTCATACCACTAACTGCCTTTTCTTTTTAATTAGCTTCATATTCCTAGGCTTCCCTTTTATTTCTACAGTGCTTCTTAGGAAAACTGAGGTAGAATCTGATAAGAAAGTTCTAGTCCATTTAAAATACTTTGAATAAGAAAGTCTCTTGTCATTGGATGAGCAAGTAAGTGATCAATCACAGAAACTGTACATTCAAGATGTCCTCTTCTAAAAAATGCAGTCCCTCAATCCCTACTACTTAGATTTAAAGTCCCATAGGAGAGGTTAGAAAAATAGGTCATATTTTCCACTACCCAAAACTGTCTCAGAAGCTTAAACCAGATGGAAACTATTCCAAAATATCAAGGGCACAGCTTCTGCTAAATAACTACCAATCAGTTTTTCCCCAAATTTACATACATACCTTATATAAATGAGGATTTATACTTAACTGAATGCAAAAATCTGAAGAAAACACTGTGTTGGGAACCAGCAGTTAGCGTAATGGCTATGTCGCTGGACTCCCATGTAGTCAACTGCAGTTCACGTCCCAGACCCGGTGGCTTAAAACTCACGCCACGCCGGGCGTGTGTGCGTGCGTGCCCAAGATCCCGAGAGGAGAACAGAGGAGAAGGGATTGCGGTGTGGCCATCCTCCCTGGGGGGTGATTTCTCGCTTTTTGTCTCTATGTCTCTCTCTGTCTGTCTGGTGAGCGCATGCGCCCTATAGCAAAAAAAACCACTGTGTTAAATTTCTTAATATTTTCATTCATACATTGCATAGCTCCCCTTCAAAATAAAAATATTACACATGCATCCTTTATCCTCCTATCCTGTAATATTAAAATAAAAACCCTTAAAACCTATTATAAATTGTATTAAACCAGTTAAAATACTTTTCTTCAGGAAACATTTAAGTGCCATATTAACAAGCCTTCTCACCATTTCTGATAATGTATTACCAAAATTAAGGAAAGATATGAAAATAGAAGAATGCTCCCATTAATAGAGAATCAGGGGCTATTCAATATGATGGATGGTTCAAGTCCAGACGCTATGCTTTTGAAACAGAATGCTGCTTAGGAAGCTAGAGCTTTTCCTGGTGAATCACTTAGAAAAGTAGCTCTTTCGCAGGGTTTCTTTCCTGGAATTCCTGACCCATGCAGACCTGAGATCCTGGTGACCTCACATGCCTTTGTTTCTCATGTCATCTTCTCTACAGGGGTCACACTGTGACTTAAAACAGACGGACTGAACACCCTTCTAGTATTGTGCTGGTCACAGGCTGAGAGTGACAAGACAACAGATCAGCAGAGACACAGCAGTTTTCAGATGTTTCTTGACAGTAACAGAAGGCCAGGACTTTAAATTTGAAAGGGATCTGGGCAGAAAAAAAACACACACTGCTAGATGTTTCGAAGTTTGTCAAGGTAAACAGTCTGAACTGGACTGCTGCAGTAATACCAATTCCCTAGTAACAAAATTCTCAATTAACAAAACCAAAATTTGTTTTTTCCTTAACAGAACTGACAAAAATCCCAACAGTGTGTCATGTGCAAGGCTAGTCTGCCTCCAGCTACAGCTCGTGCACGGTATCACATTTTGTCATCCATTCCTCACTCTTTGAGCTCTTCCTCCTTGGGAAAATGCTCCTGCTTGCAGGCCACGTCCACCAGCAGATGAAGACCAGGGGACTTTCCTTGCTGAGAGTTGCTTCTTCGCTCTCTGTATCTGGCTGCAGTGGATAAACCTGTGTCTTTACTAGGCTTGCTAGCAGGGCCCATTTCTGAAATGAGGAATCCCGTTTATTCTGAAGGCAAGATATTCTCAAGTGGAGTGGTCTGGCATTTTATACTGGTATCCACCTGATGTGTGCTGAATGGTAGCCCTTCCTGCACAAATGCTACTGAGGAGGGAGATGGGTTATGACGTAGCTGCTCCTTCAGTTTGACAGGAGCTTGCTGGATGGCTGCAGATTCCTCATTGTGCTATTTTCAACAGGTTGAGCTGTGTGGGTGGTATAGATGTACTCAGGTGACTGTGTGTCCTGTGTCCTTCTGCTACTCTCTTTGGACTGTCCGCTCATAACTGCCTACTATATTAGTAGGCAAGCTGGGAGAAGACAGGTAGGGGCCAGCAGAGGTTGGAGGGTGGTGGGTGACACTGGTCTCTCAGGTCCCTGCGGGGCTGTGCTCCCAGACTGTGAAATAAACCAGTGATGAGTAAACTCTGCACGGCCTGCTACCCCCACCCCCACCCCGCACCCTGGACAGCCCGCCTCACAGCCCTGAGGCAAACGCCACTGAGCAGACGGGACCCTCCCTTTCCTGGCTCCTCCCACAAACACGCTCCACACCAGTGTGTCACCTCACACCTCACGACTCACCTGTAGGGACTCTGAGAAATGGAATAAACTGCCCAGTCTCAGCACCTGGAGGAGAAAGAGAAGCCACTCAGAGCCACGGGAGACGGTGACCCTTACGGAGGCAGGGGACAGTGACGGGAGCTGCCGTAACAGGGGGGTTACCTCTGCTCAGCAGTCAGTCTCCTCTCAGGCCTGGCTCAGCCCGACGAGTCACCCAGCCTCTTGGTGACCTCAGTGTCCTCGTCTGTAGAGTGGGTCGGTAGCTCTGTCAGCCTCGAAGGACGCTTGTAAGGTTTAACTGACGTAATCCCGGAGAGCCCTGAGGACGTGCCTGACCCTTCATTACGGTGGGATCCTGTAAAGGGAGAGGGACCTCTCACTGTGACCCTGCTTCCTTATCCCATGGTGAGGACGCTGGGTCTCCCCAGGACTTAGCCTGATCCCCCCACCTGCCTGCAGGTGGAGGGCCTTCTCTCCTTACAGCCCGTGAGGGGGAGTGTGGGAGGAGCAACCACTAAACCATCAGTACCAGGAGGCCCTGGAGCACACACACAGACACACATGCATGCTTATTTACATACATGTGTATACACACACACAACTAATGCATACTTACTTATGAACACACACAACACACACACACACCACACCCTTTTTTTTCCCTTTTTTCACACCCTTTTTTTTTTCCTTTTTTTTGGAGAGGTTTTTGCTATAGGGTGCATGTGCTGGCCAGGAAGACAGAGAGAGACAGAGAGACAGAAAGCGAGGAGGCCATGTCACAAGCCCTTCTCCTCCATTCTCCACTCAGGATCTTGGGCACGCATGCACACACACCCGGCATGAGTTTAAGCCACTGGGTCTGGGACTCGAACTGTGGTTGACTACATGTGAGTCCAGCAACATAGCCATTACGCCAACTGCTGGTCCCGTCTTCTTTCAGATTTTACAGTTCAGTTTGGGCCTGGCTTATTCCCCATTAATTTCTAAAAAGAAATTTAGGAACCTGAGAGAGAAGGACCTGAGAATTTTGGTCCCATAGAAAGAAATGCACTTCCCAGGCACTCTGGAACTTTCCAGCCTCATGGGCCCCTGATCCTGGGACCTCACAGAGGAGCAGGGAAATCACCCCCAGGTGGAGCTCCTGCAGGGCAGAGGCAGCCCTGGGAACCTGCCCACCCTGGTCCGGGGCTCTGGACTCCAGCAGGCGTCCCCTCCCCTCCCTGCAGCTTCTCTCCTGCCCTCCCCTGGCCAGGTCCCTGCAGGTGCTGCTGCAGCACAGGCTCCCCACATTGGCTCCAGATGTAATGGGGTGGGAGTCGCACCTCCCTCCAACCCCCCGGGGAGACCCTGAGGTCAGAGAGAGGAGCCCAGACCTCTTAGCCTGCCGGAGAGCTTGTTCCTGCTGGATCTAGCGACGGCCACAGCTGTAGTGACCAGAATTGGAAGGATCACAAGTCCAAGGACCACAGCAAGGGTGGTGGCTCCAGGGAGTTTCTGGCCAACAAATGACCCCGGGATGTTGAGGTGAGAAGGCGGCTCTGCAAAGAGAAGGGAGGTGAGGGCCTTGACCCCCAGGCCTCAGTCCTGTCCCTGCTGAGGTCTCAGGAAGGGCTCCTGCTTTCCCTGA